AACACTCATCTTAGAAAATACATGAGGAATTTCCAGTTCATGTTCTCCGATTGCAGAGAACTTGAAGAACTTTGATCTGTATGTGAAGCAAATTAAGTAATAGACAATTATTAATTGAAATTTCATTCCTACACTTCTTGTTCATTGAGAAGAAAGAGGACTGGCTTGAAGAACTGCTCGGGATAACTGAGTACCCTGTGATCACTTTCACCTTCTCCTCAGAGAAAGACAGAGATGGAAAGTAAGAAAAGATTTGGATCAAACAGAACTAGAGAAGGACCTTTGATCTCCCTGCAGAAGCAAAATGTTCACATTTCTCTAGGAGGACTCAATGAGAAGAACAATGCTTGCTTTCCAGACCTTCCAACCTGGAGCTGAGAAGCATACTTCCCTCATCCCAGCCCAAAAGATTTCCCCAGAGTCCCCATTCCCAGAGAGATGTAGTTTCAGCCTCTCACCTTGTCAATGAAGGAGGCAAACTGGTTGTTCAGAGTCTTGATCTGCTCCTTCTCCTGGCACTTCACTTGTTGGATCTGAGGGTCAATGTCAACATGGACCGGCCGCAGGAGGGTTGGGTCAACCTGCACCGGTTGGATGCCTCCAGGGAACCCAGGACCACCTCTCACAGGGCCACCAAAGCTGCCTACTCCTCCACCAATTACACCTCCTCCAATGCTGCCAAATCCTCCTCCATAGCCTCCACCAAGGCCAACAATTCTACATCCGTATCCTCCGCCATAAGAGCCACCCATGGAAATCCTTCCGCTGCCACCCATGTTGTGGAGGCTCCTGCTGCTGAAACCTCCACAGCGTCCGCCGCCTCCAGTTCCCCGGGATGTGGAGAACGAGCTGTAGCTGATCCTGCTTCTGCCCCCACTTCCTCCAAAGCCACCGCCAACGGCAGAGCAAGAGCTGTAGCCCCTTCTGCTGCCACCTCCAAAGCTTCTGCAGACAGACTGCCGGGACATGGCTGCTTCTTCCAAGAGGAGTTGAGCAGAGTAGGAAGACCAACGGAGCTGTGCTGCTGGGGACGGATGCGGAGAGAAGTGTGCACAGTCTTCTCTGGCTCCACGGCTCCAGGCATTCCCTTTTATCTGTTTCTAGAGGTGGGCTGGGTCTACATGGGTGTGAAGAGGAAACAAATTTACTGTCTTCATCAGCTTGGTGCGGTTAACAGATTTTTGCCAAATTGTTGACTCCACCCAGAAATACGCTTTGCGATGCAGAAGAGAATAAAAGAGCAAGAGCATTGGAATAGGACTCAGTGAGTAAGTGGACTCTCATATCTTTCTGTCATCTGGAAAAATATGTTTTACAGTGATGTAGTCATGTTCTTCCCTCCTCCCACCTTTCTAGCTGTTCTTAACAATTTCTCGGTTTATCTTGATTCGGATCTTTTGCACTGAGGTTCAGTGTCAGACAAGCATTTTGGTGGAAATCAGCAAGAGTGAGGCTTTCACAATTCCCCCAAGCACACCCCGAATCTCCTACTTATGTGGAAAACTGCTGATGGTTTTTCAAGAAGCAGTTTCGTGGTGTAAAGCAAGAATACCACACATTAACATTTGACAACGGTCAGCATTTCTTTATTATCCAGAAAGGAGGTGCTTAGTTCTGCTCCAAAGAGCAGGCTGATCCCCATCGCTGGAGATGGGAGTGCCTTCTCCAGGGGAAAACTCCCGGAATTTCTTGCAGTTGAGTACCAAGACACCAAGAACCTGAGCAGAAGGAAGAAGAGAATGGGGATGACCAAGCTCCTCCCGTTTGCTTTTCTGATGGACACAAGGACTGCTGAACCCAGAGAGAAATGGAAGGACCCTTCCAGCGCTGTAAGTGGTAATAAAGAACGAAGAAAGAAATACAGCAGAAAAATACAGGCAGGGAAAACCACGACTTGAGAAAGTAGTATTTTTTACTTAAATTGGCAGACAAAGGATCAGGCTGAGATTATTATATCTGATCATTCCTAAAGAAGAGGCAACAAGAAGTTTGAAGAAGCTCGGATGCCTTCAGAAGTAGAGTTACGGTATCGCGGTGTATATGATGCATGTTTTAAGAGCTACAGCAAAGACATGTAAGAACACGTGAATCTTTGTAGGAAGACTAAATTTACTTTAGAGAAATGTATTTTTCAGACACAAGCAGCTGCTTCAAAGTATCTGGCTCTGAAATAGGAAGTTCATTTGATAGACACTGTGCAGATGCCTTCGGGGTATCATTTTAGTCATGAGTATAATCTTCAAGAAAAACAAAATCCCTAATGCTTAACTCCAAAAAAAATCAATAGATGTCAAAGGAAATACATTATGCAGCACTCTGATCATTTCAGTCTTCCAGAATACAGTGTATATGAGCTTTCAATGTGGAATAAACATCTTATGTTTGAACTTTCAGGATCTCTCATAAGACATGGGCAACAAAATGCTGTTTGAAAATATCACTGGTATCAGCCTTCAGCCACAGGCACTTCAAAGAAACAGCCCACAGAGCAGCTACAGGAATCAGAGATGTAAATGCTTCTGGCTGTCACTGGGATGGAGGATGCTGGGCACCAATCTCTTCACACAACAGGACATGGGAGAGTGGGGAATGTCACACCCAAGGGACTCAAGCAATGTTGGACAAGGTTCTCCAGGTGTCTGCAGCTCGCCCAGTGCCACAGGCTGCAGCTGGAGAACGGGCACCATCCCAACACTGGGACAGGGACACTTTGCCTTGCAGGAGAATGGCCTTCGTCCTTGGCTGGTGTCCCCAGGAAAGATAAGGACAATCCCAGAGAAACGAAGGGGAGCTGGGGTTTTGTTGGAGAAAAGCGGGTTGTATCTGCTCATGGCCTCCCTCCGTGCTGGCAAATGCCACTGCGAGATGCTTTTCTCGGGAGGCAGCACGAGCTGCTTGTAACATCCCACACGGCAGCTCCACAACTGGGAGAAACGTGCTCACTCAGCCAAATGCCTGGGTGCTGACCACGCTCAGCTCACCCAGATAAGACGCCCAGATTGAGTCACTCTGACGTCTCCAGACAAGATGGGAAGATTATAGCAGAGCTGGAGTCGCATCAGCCTCCTCCAGGTGAAACTCGATAGGCAGCCTGGGCTCCAGCAATCCCTTGTGATCTCTTACACAAGGAGCCGTGCGCAGCACAATTGTCCACGCAAAGCAAAGCCCAGACTTGGCTGAGAAGCTGATGCTGAGCCCAGCTGCAGAGCTCTCCAGGAGGCAGCTTTGGGTCCTGATTCTGCACAGCCTGCAGGTCCTGGCACAAAGCTCTGGAGGCAGCACGGGCAGAGATGCCACCAGGATTCCTCACTCACATGGTGAGACTGAGAAGAAACAGAGCTAAAATTAGGCACCAAAGCCGCTGACTCTTCACCAAGCCAAACCCAAAGCACTCTTGGCAAGGGCCCAGCTGCTCAGAGGCGTTGCTTTCCCATCCCCTTATTCTGGGGACAAACAGAGCTGTGTTCTCCAACTCCCCTGCTGCTCCAAGGGACGAGGAGGCCTCTCCAAAGACCCCTCAGCCCTTTCCCGTGGCCCGGAGTTGGTCTTATCAGAGGGCTGCACTTCCTCACCCACTATGGGGACACAGCAGCTCCCAGCGAGTTGCTTTGGGACTCCTACACCACTACTGAGAGCGGTTGCTGTCTCTTTGATCTCTGCTTGCGATGCAGGAGCTGAAGCTCCGCTCAGATCAAACACATCAGCATTCTGCCCACCTTGCTCCCCATGCCCTCCAGCTAGAGCCCAGCTCTCCCACTCACTCTCATTATAAAGCAAACACACCGAGAGACGGGTCCAACTTCTCAGGCACCCCATTGGGATGAGATGCCCATGGGTCAGGACGGAACACCCCTCTCCAGTCCCTCATCTTCCGACTGCTGCTAAGTGGAGAGCAGGAGGAGCTGCTGGTCTCTGGCACTACTGATGCTCATGGCTGCTGACCTTGCTCTGCAGATTGCTCTAGGTCAGCATCCACATCCATGCTCGCTGGCAGCTGCTGCCTACAGGACTCTTTCTGTTCCCATCTTTCCCTACTACATAGTAGAGTCCACTCCAGGGCAGCGCCTTCAGATGCAGCCACAACAGCAGGGTAATCTGATGTCTGCTCCCTCCCCATCGCTGTCTTTTTCCATCACAATCACTGTGTTTGGTCTCTGGTGGTTTAGCCACTACTCTGTGCCAGCATTTGTGCACTAGGAGAATAGTTTTGTGTTTCTGATTTCTGCATACTATTTACATGTCTTCTTCCTGATGATTATGAAGACAAAGAGACAAATAAACTCCTTTCTTAGGTCAGCTTTAGTTTCTGCATCATCAGAGCATGGTGGTGAGCTGTGACATGCGTAGAACCATAATGAGTGCATTACTCTGCATAAGGACTGAGCCCTAGATTATGGCATGGATAAATCCATTGTCTCTGAGTAGTTTAAAGACACAATAAGTGATGACACCTGATCTGGAAATTGTGATTCCCAGGTTAGGATTATATGAGGATCTTACCCACATTTCCCCAGACTCCAGCACTTCTCCATTCTGGGCTCCCTGGCTGCACCCATCTACTGCTCATTCAAGGAGAGAGCATCCAGAGCCCCTCCTATGTGGCCCTGTGATTTCAAGCAGCGCTATGACACATAGAAGTCAAAGGGAATTGAATCACTGAATCATAGAATACCTTGATCTAGGAGGAGCCCAAACCCCTGCCACCACATAAACCCAAACCCAAAGTCTGAGAGTTCCAGCAGCTCAGGGCAACCAAGCTGCTTCCCCAGAGCAATAGTCATTCTACCAGAAAGTGATGACAACAAGACATAGTGAATGTTCTCTGCAATTTATTGAGAATGGCAACATCCCAAGGACATACCACAAACAGAAGAAGAAGGGAGGTGGGGACAATACATCTTGTTCCATGTCACCAGGGGCCTGGCACAGAAAAGCAAGCTCGGTTCTGTTTAGAAAAAGTCCTCTGGGCACCTGCCGCCACAGAAGGAGTCCCGTCTGCCCCTCACGTGCCACAAGCCACGACACAAGTGAATGGAAGCAACAGGATGTACTGCATGCAGAAGCACCCCAGGGCTACGGCCATCAGGACAGAGGAAGAAAGAGTGGTTTTATACACGTTTGCCACAGGGCAGCCAGAAATGTACAATGCAGCAAGGAAGGCAGAGCGGTTCCTCCTTGAAATCAGCTCTCCGTACGGGGTATCCACGTGTGAGACTTTGCTCGGGCTGCTATTTCTTCACTGAGTAGGAGGCTGTGGAGCAGTGTGTCCCGGCCACCAGGCTCCCATGCTGGGAACAAGCCAGGTAGACCAGCTGGCTCATGCTGGCCATGAGGGACACAGTTTGTTTCACGGTGGGCTACCGGAGGTGGATTTAAGGAGGCTGCGCTGCTGCCGGGGGAAGGGAGGACATGCTTTGTTTCTTTCTCAGTCGGCCTTCAGGGCTCAGAACCTCACTCCTGAAGACTTGACGGAGGTGGTTGTGACGCATCTCCGTATGGAGGAGGATCCCCCACCGGAGCTGAAGTTGCCACCCCCAGAGCCGCAAATCCTTCCACTTCCAGAGGAGAAGCCTCCGCTGTACATTCCTCCTCCCATTCCACAGCTGCCGCCAGAGCTTCCACCTCCAAAGCCTCCTCCTGAGCCACACACTCCTCCCATTCCTCCTCCCATGCCGCTGCCTCCGAATCCTCCTCCCATTCCACCGCCTCCAAATCCTCCTCCCATGCTGCTGCCTCCAAATCCTCCTCCCATGCCTCCTCTTCCTCCGGAGATGGTGGTCCTGCCTACCACAGCTGGAAGAGATATAGTGGTTATAAATGGGCCAGTGGGAAGATTTTTTTCAGTTGAGATGCAACCTGCTGGTCCTTTGCAGATACTTACAGACATTGACGTTGGACATCCCATCATTGCACAGCCTGTGAGAGGAAACAGAAAGGGTTAATCTTTGGGGGCACAATAGCTTTTTTGGCTAAGAATACTCCTAGCTATATTCTCTAGCTATATGTTCTCTTTTCTTTTTGATTTTCACAACTGTACTAGTGCCATTGTAAGAAAAGTGGAAAACATTTGTGTTTCTGGCTAAGAATTGCATTAAATTTAATATATAAGGTTTATCTCCAGAGGGATATGTAAAGACCTCATCTTCACATGGACTGTCAAGAAAGGTTAAGAAGACACAAATAAAGGATAGTACCTGTTCTCCTCTCCCTCCAGCAGCTTCCTGTACATGGCAATCTCCACATCCAGGGCAATCTTGACATTCAGCAGCTCCTGGTATTCCTTCAGCAGGCGAGCCAGCTCCTCCTTGTCCTTGCTCAGAGCAGTTTCCAGCTCTTCCAATTTCGCCCTGGCATCCTTCAAGGCCATCTCACCCCTCTCCTCGGCCTCAGCAATAGCTGCCTGCAGCTGCTGGATCTGAGGAAGGAGAAGGGCACTCCCTCAGAACACACTTCATTCTTTAACAAAAGCCTTCAAACACAACTTGAATGATCAAATATAAAAGACAGCACTGAACAAAGTCAATAGTGGTAGAGTTGAAGAACACATTTCTGCCCCAGAATCCATAGACATTATTTTTGATGCATTCTTATGCTGATATCTGGAGAGTCCCCCACAAATCCCTACCTGCTTCTTCACGTTCTCAATTTCAGTCCGCAGCCGCTGGACATTCCTGGTCAGCTCCTGGATCTCGATCTTGGTGTTGCGCAGGCTGTCCCCGTGCCTTCCAGCAGTGCTCTGCAGCTCCTCATACTGATGGCACAGGCATAGAAAACCATCCATGAGAAAGCCTACCCAGAACCCAAAAGTCCCCTTGCTCCATGGCACGGAGACATCCAGCAGCAAGGGGCCATCCCAGCTGCCACGAATCTGCCCAGCTCACCCGGCTCTGGTACCAAGCCTCAGCTTCAGCTCTGCTGTTCTGGGCAATCTGCTCGTACTGCCGTCTGACCTCCTCAATGATGCTGTCCATGTCCAGGTGCCGGTTGTTGTCCATCGACACCACCACAGACAAGTCCCTGCTGATTGTCTGCATCTGAGACAATTCCTGCAACCAACACGGGGACAAACCTGAGCACGGGAGCAGAGGAGCCCAAGGGATGCTCCACGCACATCCCCCATGGGCACCCATTCACTGCAGGGTCCTGAGCCACATTTCCCCTCCTCACCCTTGCTCCAGCCCAGCCCAACCCAGGAAAGGCTCCTACCTCCTCATAGATGGCCCTCAAGAAGTTGATCTCATCAGTCAGAGCTCCCACCTTGGCTTCCAACTCCACCTTGGTCATGTAGGCGGTGTCCACATCCTACAAGAAAAACCACGCTCTAGACCATGGCTTCTTCCCACCCTATTAGCAGCCAGCAAGCACTGTCCAGAAAATTTCTGTCCCACATCTGTCTCTTCCCAACCTCCTGCCATCCTGTTCCCTGCACTCACCTTCTTCAGCACCACAAACTCATTCTCAGCAGCAGTGCGCCTGTTGATCTCTTCCTCATACCTGTGGAAGAGGACAAGCCAGATGAGCCTCCTGCATGGCTCATCAAGTAGCGGTGCTCCCTCCTCTTTCCTCCACAGAACCCCTCTCACACTCCTGCTGAGCTCCTGGAGCAACTGGCAGACACCAGAGACCTGCATGCCGCCCCAGCTCTCCTGCCTTGCTGCTCACTCCATCTCTGCACTTACTTGGTTTTGTACTCCTCCACGTACTGGCGCATGTTCTGCAGCTCGGATTCCAGCTCTCCCCTCTGTCCCAACAGAGACTCCAACCTCCTCCTTAGGCCCTGGATGTAATTCTCAAAGATGACATCCAGGTTCTTCCTGGGTCCTGAAGGCCCTTGCTGCTGCAGGAGCTCCCACTTGGTGGAGAGAACCTTGTTCTGCTGCTCCAGGAAGCGCACCTGAAAGCCCACAGGGGGTTGTGTGAGAATTTCACCTTGGGATCCTGTGAGCCGTCAGACTTCTCAGACCTCCTGCTCCTTCTGGAAGCCATGGGAATTACCCACTGCGGCTGACTCAAACTTTCAAGCTTCTAAAGTGCACGATTATTCACAGCATTACTGTTTTTGAGGCTATTCTGAAATTTTGAGCTATGGACAAACTCTTTGACAATTGAAATAGTAACTTCCATTCTCTCCATGTCAGTTTTGGACATTACTTTCATCTCAGTAGAAGTTAAGTCAAGAAAGCAATTATTGTCTCATTTACTGTTCATCTATGCTTCTTCAAAGATTCTGTCTTTCTTTAGTTTCTGTTTGAAATTAAATTTATCCAAGATCACTGGAACTGTATTTAACACTTTTACACTTATAGGATCGGTTCCTTGAAAAGAAAATGACATCAAATAGAACTACAGTAATGAGATCTCCTTAGGACATTTAAATACAATATGATGACTTTACCCTGAATCACTACAAATTAAACTGAAGAAATTACTGGGCAAGAGAATGTTCAGCATGCCCTGATGATGCTGCCTTTAATGCTCCATTAGCATGAAGTCCCGTTTAATTGTTCAGTATTCCTTAATAAGACTTCAGTGGCAACTTCTTACAAAGCCATCAGTCTTGCAGACTTTGTCAAGTAACATTAAACTTGACTGCAAGGAATGTAATCCCTTTGCACACTACAGGAATTTGTTCAAAACGCTCATCTCCACATAAGAGTGGTGCTAAGTTCTCACCTTGTCAATGAAGGAGGCAAACTGATTGTTAAGAGTCTTGATCTGCTCCTTCTCCTGGTTTTTCACTTGCTGGATCTGAGGATCGATCTCAACGTGGACGGGCCGCAGGAGGCTCGAGTCAACGTGCACTGGTTGGATGCCTCCAGGGAAGCCAGGACCCCCGAAGCCTCCCATTCCTCCTCCTATTCCTCCACCTATTCCTCCACCGAAGCCACCCATTCCTCCACCACCCATTCCTCCTCCACCCATTCCTCCACCAAAGCCACCCATTCCTCCTCCTCCCATTCCTCCACCACAGCCACCCATTCCTCCTCCACCCATTCCTCTGCCACCTATTCCTCCTCCATAGCCACCCATTCTGCCTGCACTGCCGTAACACCCACCCGCAGCAAACCCTCTGCTGCCACCCATGTTGTGGAGGCTCCTGCTGCTGAAGCCTCCACACTGTCCACCGCTTCCTCCTCCTCTGGATGAGGAATACGAGCTGTAGCTGATCCTGCTTCTGCTGCCGCCACCTCCTCCAAAGCCACCACCAACGGCAGAGCAAGAGCTGTAGCCCCTTCTACTCCCTCCTCCGAAGCTTTTACAGGCAGACTGCCGAGACATGGCTGCTTCTTCCCAGCAGAGTCAAAGTCAGGAAGAGTAGAAAGACCAACGGAGCTGTGCTGCTGAGGACAGATGTGGAGAGAAGTGTGCACAGCCTTCTCTGGCTCCACGGCTTCGGGCATTCCCTTTTATCCGCTCCTGAAGCTCTTGGGCGTGAAGGTGGAAACCAGTTCATTATTTTCATCAGCATGGTGCTGTTGACAGATTCCCAGTGTAGCTTTACCTTATTTGGGCCTGCCTAGAAACACACCCTGCAATATAGAAGTGAATAAAAGAATATTGAAATAGGTCTCAGTGACTAAGTGGACTCTCATAGGTTTATGACCTGCTGGAAACCATCTTGCATGGTAATGTACTTTTCTTCAGCCCCTCATTGGACTCCCAACCTTCTTTAATAGCTCCAAATAATTGCAGATATAGATCTTCCCAATCAAACCTTCATGGAAAGGAGAGGTTTTGATGAAATAACAGCTATAACATAGCTTTCACAACTCCTCACACACACCCTAAATCTCCTTTTTATAGGTTAAATTGCCTTCGGCATATTAGAAGTTTCCCAATCCTCAATCAGAATTCGTGACACCAGAGTTTGAAGAGACTCAGCATATTATTCTCCCGCTAGGAAGGTATGACATCTTGGGGCGTGAGTGCTGGCGCTTTGGATGGGAGTGTCTTCACCGTGCAGGTTAAATGCCCTCCAATTGAGTCTCCTCAAATCTGAGAACACGAGCTGGGAGCTTAGAGAAGGATGGAGCAGAGTGGATGGCACACCACGCCTTGTCCTGCTCCACTCCTGTGCTCATCTGGCAGTGATGGAGAAGGACAACCCTGGGAGAAGGATGGGACGCTTCACGGAGCTGATTGTGACCGAGGGCAGAGAGACAAGCACTACAAAAGTGGAAAAGCAGATTAATAATTCAAGATGGTGAGGGCTTCCTCCTGCTTTGGGGAATTATGCTGATCTCTTCTTTACTCGGTTATTTCCAAAGATGAGACAACTAATAAGGAAAAATGTTAAGGAATGGAAGTATTTCAACTCCTAAGGAACAGTATATGCTCTTATTTTCAAGTTTTTCTTGGGGTAAGGTAAGGTGTGTACTCTATAGGACATCTCTGAAATAAAGAAGCTGATTTTTGATTTGCATGTGAATGAAATTTAAAACAATTATTCATAAAGTTCCATATGAAGGATAGAAAATATAAAATAAAACCAATGTACAAGTATTTTGAAGAGCCTAGAATACAGACAGTGGTTAAAAGGAGACAGAGATCTGCAAATACCATTTGAAACACCTTCTGTGCGCATTGCCTGACTGCATATTGGAAGGTAAATAAGTATTTCAGTCAATGTATGAAATAGGTATTAACATTTACATTGCCTCTGGTATACAGCCAGAGCAAGTAATCAAGAAATTAAAAAGAAAACATATATTGAAGACCTTCAAAACATTTAAAACAACAATAAGCATGAACATAAGGCTGTTCAAATGATCTCAGTAGGAACTTTTAAATTCAGAATCTCCATTAAGACTTGGGCAACGAAGTGCTGTTTGAAAATATCGCTGGTATCAGCCTTCAGCCTTAAAAGACCTGGGAAAACCATCCCAGAGAATAACATAAATGCACTGGGAGGGAGGATGCTGGGCACCAATCTCTTCACACAACAGGACATGGGAGAGTGGGGAATGTCACACCCAAGGGACTCAAGCAATGTTGGACAAGGTTCTCCAGGTGTCTGCAGCTCGCCCAGTGCCACAGGCTGCAGCTGGAGAACGGGCACCATCCCAACACTGGGACAGGGACACTTTGCCTTGCAGGAGAATGGCCTTCATCCTTGGCTGGTGTCCCCAGGAAAGATAAGGACAATCCCAGAGAAACGAAGGGGAGCTGGGGTTTTGTTGGAGAAAAGCGGGTTGTATCTGCTCATGGCCTCCCTCTGTGCTGGCAAATACCACTGCGAGATGCTTTTCTCGGGAGGCAGCACGAGCTGCTTGTAACATCCCACACGGCAGCTCCACAACTGGGAGAAACGTGCTCACTCAGCCAAATGCCTGGGTGCTGACCACGCTCAGCTCACCCAGATAAGACGCCCAGATTGAGTCACTCTGACGTCTCCAGACAAGATGGGAAGATTATAGCAGAGCTGGAGTCGCATCAGCCTCCTCCAGGTGAAACTCGATAGGCAGCCTGGGCTCCAGCAATTCCTTGCGATCTCTTACACAAGGAGCCGTGCGCAGCACAATTGTCCACGCAAAGCAAAGCCCAGACTTGGCTGAGAAGCTGATGCTGAGCCCAGCTGCAGAGCTCTCCAGGAGGCAGCTTTGGGTCCTGATTCTGCACAGCCAGCAGGTCCTGGCACAAAGCTCTGGAGGCAGCACGGGCAGAGATGCCACCAGGATTCCTCACTCACATGGTGAGACTGAGAAGAAACAGAGCTAAAATTAGGCACCAAAGCCGCTGACTCTTCACCAAGCCAAACCCAAAGCACTCTTGGCAAGGGCCCAGCTGCTCAGAGGCGTTGCTTTCCCATCCCCTTATTCTGGGGACAAACAGAGCTGTGTTCTCCAACTCCCCTGCTGCTCCAAGGGACGAGTAGGCCTCTCCAAAGACCCCTCAGCCCTTTCCCGTGGCCCGCAGTTGGTCTTATCAGAGGGCTGCACTTCCTCACCCACTATGGGGACACAGCAGCAACCAGCGAGTTGCTTTGGGACTCCTACACCACTACTGAGAGCGGTTGCTGTCTCTTTGATCTCTGCTTGCGATGCAGGAGCTGAAGCTCCGCTCAGATCAAACGCATCAGCATTCTGCCCACCTTGCTCCCCATGCCCTCCAGCTAGAGCCCAGCTCTCCCACTCACTCTCACTATAAAGCAAACACACCGAGAGACTGGTCCAACTTCTCAGGCACCCCATTGGGATGAGATGCCCATGGGTCAGGACGGAACACCCCTCTCCAGTCCCTCATCTTCCGACTGCTGCTAAGTGGAGAGCAGGAGGAGCTGCTGGTCTCAAACACTGCTCGTGTTCTTGGCCACCACCTTAGGTGCCTATGGCTCACTGCGTGGTCAGTGTCCACTTCCACTCTCACAGACATCTTCCAAGCTGCCCTCTCACTACTTCCTGCAGGTCCACTGCCATTTTCCCCACCTGACATGGCATGCCTGTCCCGTCCATGGGTAGACCTGATAGGGATGTGGTCAGCAGGTCATTCAGATACCTTGGCTGTATCAATGACTGTGCCATGAAGGTTAAGATAGTGTCTGAGCCTACTGGCCGCTCATCATCAGACCAGCGCTCCCATAGCCCCTGCCACCTTCAGGATCACGCAGTGAGGGAATGCTTTGACTGGTAAAAGTCAAGAAGAATCGAATCATAGAGATAAAATATCTCATCACCAAGTCTAACTCCTGGCCCCAAACAGCACCACCTAAAATCTAAAACATGTCTGAGAGCACTCCCAAAACACAACTCAGTATCGTGCCTGCTGCCCTGTGGAGCTGTGCCATGCCCACCGCCGTCTGGAACAGCACCTTTCCCTAACCCCCACCTGACCACCCACGACACAGTTTCATGTTGTTCCCTTGGGTTCTGTCACTGTCCCCACAGAGCAGAGCTCAGCGCTGCCCCTTCACTCCCTGTGAGGGGCTATGGGGCTATGATGGGCTGTAGGGCATGAGGGGCTGTAGGGCCATGAAGGGCTTAGGGTCATGAGGTCCCTCTATGGGAGCAGCTGACCAAACCAAGGGACCTCCGCCTCTCCTCATATCTCTTGCTCACCAGGCCCTTCCCCATCTCTGTAGAGCCCTCCTTTGGTTGCTCTCTGATAGCTTTATGTCCTGACATTATGGTGCCCAAACTCTCACGCAGTGCTCCAGGTGACACTGCACCAGGAAGAGCCTTCCCACACTGAGCAGAACAACCAAAGATCCCACCAGCTCACATCGCCCATGGCAATACTCATTCTGCTGAAAAGTAACCTCTAAAACAATGACAAGAAGACATCAAAAATGTTCTCAGCAATTTATTGAGAATGGCAACATCCCAAGGACATACCACAAACAGAAGAAGAAGGGAGGTGGGGACAATACATCTTGTTCCATGTCACCAGGGGCCTGGCACAGAAAAGCAAGCTCGGTTCTGTTTAGAAAAAGTCCTCTGGGCACCTGCCGCCACAGAAGGAGTCCCGTCTGCCCCTCACGTGCCACAAGCCACGACACAAGTGAATGGAAGCAACAGGATGTACTGCATGCAGAAGCACCCCAGGGCTACGGCCATCAGGACAGAGGAAGAAAGAGTGGTTTTATACACGTTTGCCACAGGGCAGCCAGAAATGTACAATGCAGCAAGGAAGGCAGAGCGGTTCCTCCTTGAAATCAGCTCTCCGTACGGGGTATCCACGTGTGAGACTTTGCTCGGGCTGCTATTTCTTCACTGAGTAGGAGGCTGTGGAGCAGTGTGTCCCGGCCACCAGGCTCCCATGCTGGGAACAAGCCAGGTAGACCAGCTGGCTCATGCTGGCCATGAGGGACACAGTTTGTTTCACGGTGGGCTACCGGAGGTGGATTTAAGGAGGCTGCGCTGCTGCCGGGGGAAGGGAGGACATGCTTTGTTTCTTTCTCAGTCGGCCTTCAGGGCTCAGAACCTCACTCCTGAAGACTTGACGGAGGTGGTTGTGACGCATCTCCGTATGGAGGAGGATCCCCCACCGGAGCTGAAGTTGCCACCCCCAGAGCCGCAAATCCTTCCACTTCCAGAGGAGAAGCCTCCGCTGTACATTCCTCCTCCCATTCCACAGCTGCCGCCAGAGCTTCCACCTCCAAAGCCTCCTCCTGAGCCACACACTCCTCCCATTCCTCCTCCCATGCCGCTGCCTCCGAATCCTCCTCCCATTCCACCGCCTCCAAATCCTCCTCCCATGCCGCTGCCTCCAAATCCTCCTCCCATGCCTCCTCTTCCTCCAGAGATGGTGGTCCTGCCTATCACAGCTGGAAGAGACACACAGGTTACACATGGGACAACAAAAGGTTTTCTCAGTTGAGACACATTCCATGACTCAACAACCCACCAGACTTCTCAGCCCACCATACTTACAGATATTGACGTTTGACATTCCATCATTGCACAGCCTGCAAAAGAAAATGAGTACGTTTTTGTGACCCAATGAAAGAGTCATCTTAAAACCTTAGAGGGTTATTTTTATTGAGCCATCACACCCTTAAGGCATTTTCTTTTTTCTTTTTTCTTTTTTCTTTGTTTTTTTTTTTTTTTTTTTTTTTTTTTTTTGCCTATTTATTCCTGTTTCTGGTGTGCTGGTATCAGTAAAGTATTTAAGGAGGGTATCAGTGATAATCCCTGTTCCCAGTGAGGTTTTCCCAAACCTCAAGTTCTTTATGACACTTGCATATGTCAGAATCAAACTGATATATGGACAAGCTGCAATGAACTGGTTGCCAGTTGCCCATCCTGATAACCTCAAATGTAATCCAGAGTACAAATGGCGTATCAACCCTTTTTTACTGGGAAACACACTTTGACATTGCACTATGACCCCAAAATTCAAGGGGTACCTTCCAGACAGCAAGATTCCCCTTCAATCAAAAATGAAATGCTCTACCTGTTCTCCTCTCCCTCCAGCAGCTTCCTGTACATGGCAATCTCCACATCCAGGGCAATCTTGATGTTCAGCAGCTCCTGGTATTCCTTCAGCAGGCGAGCCAGCTCCTCCTTGTCCTTGCTCAGAGCAGTTTCCAGCTCTTCCAATTTCACCCTGGCATCCTTCAAGGCCATCTCACCCCTCTCCTCGGCCTCAGCAATAGCTGCCTGGAGCTGCTGGTTCTGAGGAAGGAGAAGGGCACTCTCTCAGATCACTTTCTGTCCCATACCACCAGTCCTCAAACCCAAGCTTGGATGATCAAGGATAAAAGGCGACACTCTACAGAGTCAATAGTGGTAGAGTTGAAGAACACATTTTCCCCCACAACCTAAAGTCAACATTTGAACCCAATGCAAGCATCCAATGAGACACCACACATCCCTACCTGCTTCTTCACGTTCTCAATCTCAGCCCGCAGCCGCTGGACATTCCTGGTCAGCTCCTGGATCTCGATCTTGGTGTTGCGCAGGCTGTCCCCGTGCCTTCCAGCAGTGCTCTGCAGCTCCTCATACTGATGGCACAGACACAAAGCAAACCTTCAGTGAAACATTCCCGATGCCTTGCCAAGACTTGTCTGCTTTTCTAGTTCATGTTCTGCTAAAAGAACCCATCTTGGTGGTCAGTGGAACTTTGATGCCCATCTCAATGCAAAAGATGTATCTGGGACTCAGTTACTATTGTTTCCCTCATTTCCCAACACTGAGGTAGATTTTAGTTACACTAAAAAGCATTCTGTGTCTTCTAGACAGCTACTTTGTTCTGGCATTTCCTAGCTAACTTATGCTGATGGTCATATTAATGAAAGGCTTGCATGGTTCACCAGAGTGAGATTCTGGACTTGCTATAACGAGTGAGTCAGATCAACACACTTTCTGTGAGACTTCCTTGTTCAGGCTCCAGTACCACTGGCTTACAGACCTCACATGATTTATCTGTAATCTCCTGCCACCTTGCAGGCATCCTCAAGGGCTTCCCAGCTCACCTGGCTCTGGTACCAAGCCTCAGCTTCAGCTCTGCTGTTCTGGGCAATCTGCTCGTACTGCCGTCTGACCTCCTCAATGATGCTGTCCATGTCCAGGTGCCGGTTGTTGTCCATCGACACCACCACAGACAAGTCCCTGCTGATTGTCTGCATCTGAGACAGTTCCTGCAACCAACACAGGAGTAAACCTGAGCACGGGAGCAGAGGAGCCCAAGGGATGCTCCACACACATCCCCCATGGGCACCCATTCACTGCAGGGTCCTGAGCCACATCTCCCCTCCTCACCCTTGCTCCAGCCCAACCCAGGAAAGGCTCCTACCTCCTCATAGATGGCCCTCAAGAAGTTGATCTCATCAGTCAGAGCTCCCACCTTGGCCTCCAACTCCACCTTGGTCATGTAGGCGGTGTCCACATCCTACAGGAAAGATCACATTTTCTCTTGGAAATCCTCCAGTCACAGCATCTGCTCAGTGCTGAGGGTAACAGCTCTGGTAGCATTACTCAGCCATACAAGAAAGGACGAGAAATTTCCAAGAGCAACCTACAATCTCCATTGGATTTCCCACCCAAGAAGAAATCTCCTCGAAGCTCTGGCAAAGCTTAGCATTCAAGCAGTCACTTCACTGCGCCCGTGACTCACCTTCTTGAGCACCACAAACTCGTTCTCAGCTGTTGTGCGCCTGTTGATCTCTTCCTCATACCTATGGAAAGTTAAAATACAAGCTGAGTTTCCTGAATTTTCTTGCCTAAGGCCACACAAAAGCAAAAAGAAATGCAAAATAAGAACGAATACAATATTTAAACTGACAAATCTACACCCATAATTACCATAAAACAAACAAATGTGAAGCAAAATAACCAGTGAGGTACAGACTGCCATTGCTGCCAGCTGCTTGCATTGCTCTCAGTGTTATCATCTCTGCACTTACTTGTTTTTGTAATCCTCAACGTATTGCTGCATGTTCTGCAGCTCGGATTCCAGCTGTCCCCTCTGTGCCAGAATGGAGTCCAGCTGCCGCCTCAGGTTCTGGATGTAGTTCTCAAAGATGACATCCAGGTTCTTCCTGGGTCCTGAAGGCCCTTGCTGCTGCAGGAGCTCCCACTTGGTGGAGAGAACCTTGTTCTGCTGCTCCAGGAAGCGCACCTGAAAGCCAACAGGCGGAGGATGCACAGTCAGTCATGAAGGCACTCCTTCCACCAGGTACAAAGAGTGGTCCGTTCTTTGTGTCATTATGTGATTTTGTTAGTTAAAAAAAAGAAAGAGGTTGCCGTTGAGTCAATTGCAGGATGAGGGAAAGGAGGGAATCTCCAAGTCAAGGGTGCAGAACGAACTCCAACACGTTCCCATAGCTGGTAGCTTGGAAATATTAGATTCCTAGTCCGAAATAAAAAAAGATTGGATATTTGAACACCCAGCAGGGGAAAAATAAGAAAAGCAACCCTAAATTTGTGAATAGTTAAATAGGAGCGTTTGGAAAGGGAAGAGTGCAGAAGTGAAACCTGAAGAAGTTTGGAGGCGTTTAGCCTTGCAGTAATAACCTATTAGGTGAACCTGGTGCAACAGGCTAGATTAAAGCCCTGAAGATACAGCTTTGATCTCATCTGGAAGGGAGATTCTCATCTTTTCCATAGCAGCACTTGAGAAAAGGCTCTTCTCCAGCTCCTTAGCCTGCCCATATTTGGCTCAAAAGGAAGTTTCTGTAGAGCTTGGCAGCTCCTCCTAATTTTTGCCCTTCATTAGCCCCAGTCCCACTCCCTCACCTTGTCAATGAAGGAGGCAAACTGATTGTTAAGAGTCTTGATCTGCTCCTTCTCCTGGTTCTTCACTTGCTGGATCTGGGGGTCGATCTCAACATGGACTGGCTGTAGCAGGGTTGTGTCGACCTGCACGGGCTGAATGCCAGGGCCACCTCTACCAGGGCCACCAAAGCCAAAGCTTGGGCCACCATAGCCACCCATTCCTCCACCTCCCATTCCTCCACCATAGCCACCCATCCCTCCACCGAAGCCGCCCATTCCACCACCACCACCCATTCCTCCACCAAAGCCCATTCCTCCTCCGTAGCTGCCTAGTCCTCCGTAGCCTCCACCAAAGCCACCCATTCTGCCTCCATAACCTCCACCGCTGTAGCATCCACCTATGGCAATCCTTCCGCTGCTCCCCATGTTATGGAGGCTCCTGCTGCCAAAGCCTCCACAACGTCCACCACCTCCATATCCCCTGGACATAGAGAACGAGCTGTAGCTGCTCCTGCTTCTGCCACCACCTCCTCCAAAGCCACCGCCGATGGCAGAGCAAGAGCTGTAGCCCCTTCTGCTCCCTCCCCCAAAGCTTCTGCAGACAGACTGCCGGGACATGGCTGCTTCTTCCAAGTGGAGTCAAGATCAAGAGGAGGAGGAGGATGAATGGAGCTGGGTGGCGAGAAGATGCGTGCAAGGAAAAGGGAAGGAAGTCCCTCTGACTCGAGGGCAGTTGATGCACTCTTTTATCTGTTTCTGGAGGTGGGCTGGGTTTGCATGGGCGTGAAGGAGGAGACAGTTGCTGTCTTCATCAGCTTGGCGTGGTTTACAGATTTTCATCTTCACTTTGCCAAACATTGACCCTACCCAGAAACACACCCTATAATGCAGAAGAAAATTAAAAAAGATACAACCATGTCTACCAAAGGGCAGCACTCTGACTAAGAAGCCATGCAGTTCTGCGGCACAGTAACAGTCCCGCTGTGACAGACGTGGCTTTTTTTCACCTTTCATCCATTGTGGTTGTTTCCCTGCTTACGTTTATCTTTATTTTGATCTTTCACTCCAAAGCCCTATGGCAGGCAAGCGCTGCGGCTCATGCCAAATTGTAGCACAGCTTACACAATTCCCAAAACACACCTATGTTACACCCTTAGCCTTCTTTTTACGTGGAAAATTGCCTTTGGCTTCGAGAAGTAGTTTCTCAATCCAGAGCCAGGGCTCAGCAAATTGCATTTTGATGAGGCTTTGCATCTTTTCGATAAATAAAACCCTACTGGACAGGAGATGCCATGGCAATGGCTGGAGCTGGAAATTTGCCTGCTGTTGGGCCAAGCTCTCACTGAACATGAGTGCTGCAGTCTTCGTGCCAAGACAGCCTCTGCATCCGTGGAGAAATGCCAATGTGAAATCCCCTTAGGGCTCTCCAAAGGCTTCAGGAAGTGACTGACCATGAGAAGAGCCAGGGAAAACCTCAGCAAGTCAGCTGCTGCCACGGGAAGTGCGGACAGACAGGCGGACAGCCCTGAGAACAGGCGGAGAGAAGGAGGCATGCAAAACGAGCTGCCCACATAATGCATGCTGCAACTGCTTACATGCAATTAGTGAGGCAGAGGATGCTAAACAGCTCACCTTGTTTGTAGAGACATAAAATGGATGAACAGAGCGCACAATAACTTTCACTGGAGGAAATGCATGCTTTTCAACTACCTGGCTTACTTTGGCATTTATATGCAAGTATATTTTTCGCAGACATGTAGAGCCGTGAGCTGTGTTGAGCCCTCTGTATGAACGTGGGCAGGTGTCTTTTTTTAGCTTATTTAAAGCAGGGTTTTAGAAAGGTGGAACTTCATAAAAAACTCTCCATTTTTGATGTTGTTGCTGAGATGGAATAAGTTTACAAGACACACCTACAGAAATACTACTGTGCAAGCAGCATGCACTGGGGAGTTGGACCAGATGACCTTTAAGGGTCCTTTCCAACTCAAACAACTCTGTGATTCTATGATTCTGCAACGTTTCATTGTGGAAACCTGGTTACCAAACACTTCCCTTTTTTAAAACTTTTACTGAGAAATTCTCTTTCCCTCTTTCCCCCTTCTCCACAATCCCCAGCAGCAGAGGAATCAGCGTGGCGACTTCAAAGCCACTGAGGCCATTTTGAAGCCCCAGAGTCATTGTGGTTATTTGGGCATCTAACTGTGCTGTCTAACGAGACTCTCTGAAGTTCCCATGCGACACAGGCAATTAAGCGCTTCTTGAAAATCCACACCAGCAACTCCTGATATCTCCAGTTGTTTGAATAGCTCCAGAAATATCACCCAGACACCTATTTCCAAAAGCACCTGGGGCACCCAGGCTGCGCTCGACGTGCGGTTAGACCGGCACCGCCACCAAACCCTGACTGACCCTATGGGTGTGCTCATCCCACCCCGGCACACACGGCACGGCTCAGGGAGGGCATCCAGCTCCCAGCTCCACCATAGGGCGGGGAGGATGGGGCTCAGTGCTTGTTCCCAGCAGTGTGCGTGGGTCAGAGTCACGTGGCATGGGGACACCACGGACGGTTGACTGCTTGGGCTTTGTCTCTGAGTTTTGAGGGTTCAAAGCAGCACCTTCACCTCAAGGATTGGATGTCACTGGGAGCCCAGCGTGTGCTGCAGTGGAGAAGGGAGTTGTCATCAGGCCACTGCCCAGAGGAGTGGTGGGATCACCTTCCAAAAAGGTGCTTAAGAACTGTGGAGATGTGGCACTGAGGAACATGTTAGTGGGCATGGTGGGATGGGTTAGGGTTGGACTGGATGACCCAGAGAGAATTATTGCTGATAGATGGGCAATTGGATTGGATAATCCTGTAGGTCTTTTCCAGCCTTGGTGATTCTATGATTCTGTGACCTTAGAGGTCTTGTCCAACCTCAATGATTCTACAAGTGGGCATGGTGGGATGGGCTGGAGTTGGATTGGATGGCCTAGTGACAAACCATTGGTGATAGATGGATGGTTGGACTGGATGATCTTGTAGGTCTTTTCCAGCCTTGGTGATTCTATGATTCTTATGACCTTAGAGGTCTTGTCCAACTTTCATGATTCTACCAGTGGGCATGGTGAGGATGAGTTGATGGTTAGACAGGATGACCTTAGAGGTCTTTTCCGATCTTAATGACTCTATGATTCTATGATATATCAGTCAAACTCAGCAGGGTTCTGAAGGGTGCTGTGAACACAAGGCTGCGCGTGCACCTACATTTAGCATCAGGCTGATCTATTCCTTCTCCTCCCTCTGGATTGCCAAACACACGGTTGCGTGGTTCCTTTCTCCTCCTGCTGGCAGGACGACGTGATTGGGAGGTTTCAGTTTCCCAGCAGACCTCAGCAGGAGATTCGTTAAGTCAGCACAATGCTCCCGGCCCAAGCAATGGTTAGATAACGTTCTCATTGAGTCACCGACGCGTCTCCGGCCAAGTTTGGGAAATCAGGCAGGGATTTGGGTATCGACACCGTCAAGAGCTCAAACGCTACATGTGGCTCAGGATCCAATGATCTGCAGTGACATCACTGTGCCCACTGCTCTGCTGAAGGACAGCACAAAGTGGTGGAGGAGAAGGTGCTCAGTGTTTGTGTGCTTGGACAGGAGCTGCATGGAACTGGGGAGAGCAGGAGGACAAGCTGAGCTGAGCACTAAAACACTATATGTTCAGTAAAACATTGACATCTCAGCATTCCTTTCATGCAAGCATGCTCTGAAGGAGATTACTGACAGGGAGGGCAAGCTCAATAAAATTAGACAAGGCTTCTTTCAGGTCAAGCAAAGTTCTTGCTGTTCCAACAAAACGCAGAAACTGTCATGACTCAGTCCAGCCCAGAATTCTCCTCTAATTGCTGCTGCAATCAAAGGAACAAAAGAAAAATGCTTTCAGGTGTCTGTTTGTTTTAAGCCTCTGTACACATCCTGAAGCCCTGTCAAGAGTCAATCATGGAGGCAAGCTTACACAGAGGGCAGCGATGTCTTTTCATTCAACACCTTCCCAAGTCCCTTTGCAACCTCCTGGAGCATTCACCATTGCTCAGGCAATGTCCCCATCCGAGCAGCTACACGCCTTGGCTGCTTGCAGTGTCTCCAGCTGTAGGAGCAGGGAGCGGAGCACGGTGACTCATCAGCTGTGGTTGACCAGGGATGTGACTCAAGGTCTCCTGAGCAAGAGGTAAAACCACACTGAGCGATTTTGGCTCTACATTGGCAGCTGTAAGCAATATTTGACTGCTGGGAGAGGGGTGGGCTGCAGCAGTGTGTGATCTCCCTGTCCTCAGAGGCTGGAACCTCATGCCCAAGCCTGGTCCCATCTAACACAGATCTGTAGCAATCACATCAATAATCCAGATAGAGGACAGCCACCCTTCCCCCATTCCCTGCAGGATGCTCCAAAAGAGCTAGCTGGCAGAACAGAGGAAGGTGCCCACCTCCACCCTCATGAGGACCTCAGGAGGTGGCGAGGCAGAGATGGAGGCTGCACATTGCCCCCCAGGGGTCAGGCAGAAGTGGAGTTGGTTTTGGATTCTGATCCTTGGGGATTCATTCCAATTTGAGATTATAGAATCACAGAATCACTCAATGTCCCAAGTTGGAAGGGACCCACAGGGATCAGAGTCCAAATCCTGGCTCCACAGCACACCACACAAACCCAAACTCGACATCTGGGAGTGGTGTCCCAGTGCTTCCTGAGCTCCGGCAGGGGCCATGCCCACCGCTCTCTAGGACAAAGCCCCTTCCTCACCCCCACCTGACCCTCCAAAGACAAAGCTCCATGCCATTCCCTCGGGTCCTGTTGCTGTCATCAGAGAGCAGCTGCTGCTCTGCTCCCTATGAGGAAATGTAGGGCCGTGAGAGTCTGTAGGCCACGATGGCCTGTAGATCATGAGGAGTTATAGGATCACCATGAGGCCTCCCCTCAGCACAGAGCAGAGTGGGACAGCCTTACTCTCACCCAACTGGGGACATCCTACGACTCTACAGACGGACACCATCACAGGGACCCAAATGGAGTGCAGCATCTGCTGACATCTCCAACTGCAATCCCATCAGCTCTGCTCTCAAAGGGCTGAGAGCTCCCTCCATGCCCCGAAGAGATGAGGGCAATAGAGACCACAGCCAGTTCCAGCCCAGCCTCCTCCCTATAATAATTTTATGTCTTTCTTGTGCCACATGCTACCAGGACATTATGGTCCCCGTGGGTTTCACTGGGTTCCCTGTGGCCACTGTTTTGTCAGCCTCTGCCCATCCCAGCTGCATACATGTCCCAGCTCTCGCTTTGTGTCCCTGAAAGGGCAGGAGAAAGTCAGGACAGCTTTCAGGCCTCAGCAGAACAGCAGTCTTGTTGCAACACGAAAATGCCTGCTCAGAAAGAAAACCACACCAGTGTACTGCCTCTAGTGTTTATTGGGGTATGGCACACGCCAAAGGAGAAAGCCTTAAGCAAACAAGCACCAGTGTTCTCACAATCACAACAAAAAGGCAAAGCCCAAACAGAGGTGAGCAGTACTGTGGCCACTGCAGCACATCAGGGTCCCATGGGAGACCTTGAGGGATGCCCAGACCCCACAGGCTGTGCGTTGCATGGGGT